GAGGCACATTTATGAACTGTTATGCTCCTCTCATTTATACAGTTTGCTTGAAAAGGCATAAAAACAATTCCCAGAAATGAGATCAGTTACATAGAAAGTTTAATAAGGATGGAATAACTCCTTACCATTTTTTGTAGTACAATATATATTAAGATAACATCAAAAGTAATTTTATAGATCTTCAGCAAAAAACATCTGTAGTTCAAGTTAATTACACCTGTATTTTGTTTTGTTTGCTTTTTTCCATCAGAAAAGTTCCTTGGCTGATTCTTCCTATTCCTTCTACCCAAAGATCCAGGGGTTCTCTATATGCATCAATCACTTGTAGAATTTTGGAAGAGGAAGCCTCTACGATCGCCCTCAATTATTCCTGCTTCCTTGTATTCTGCTCATTGAGTGTGGGGTGGATTTAGTGGCTAGCTTCTAACAAATAGTGTATGGAGGACCTAGTGAATTGAGTTTCGTGGGCTATGTGGAGGGGAAGGTGGCGGTTGAGCTGGGCTTTGAAGAAGCATTAGTTTGGAGGAGGTGAAAGAAGAAAGCACAGGAGGAGCACAGGCTGGAGGGAGTGTGCCATACACTTAGGAGCTCATTTCATCTTTCCCAGCTAGTCTTTACCACACATATTACATTTCTGTATTCTCCCAATTCATCTTAATAGACAGAATCATCAATGAATACTCAAGTAAATAACTGATGATAAATTAACATGTTCATTCCAGCAAAAGTGGATAAAGTAAGGGAGCAATAGCAAAGATATAAAAGAGGTGAGTCTTTGAGAGAAAAGTATTACTCTTTATCCCTCAAATCTCTAACACATCTACCAATGAAAGAGAGCACAGCAGAAACATTGGGATCATGATTACAAGATTTCCTTCACACTGTACACTATTTTAAGTGTTCAAGTTCACTTGGAATTCAAATTTGAGAAGGTGCAATTGCCTACCTAATCAGAATTCTAAAACAAACTTCAATCAGGTGTCAGAAAATAAGTTTTTCATTATACAGGAACGTGGTAACATTATACCATCTGGGCTTCTAAGTATTGCACAGGATTTTTCACAAATAACTAAATAAAGTCTTTGCTAAAATCTCACAAAGTTAGAGCTACCAAACTGTTGAGTTAAAAAAATAAAATTGGCTCTGGCCGATTTGGCTCAGCAGTTAGAGCACTGGCCCGCAGACTGAAGGGTTATGGGTTAGATTTCCGGTCAAGGGCACATACCTGGGATGCAGGTTAGATCCCCAACTCTGGTCAAGGTTGTGCAGGAGGCAACCAATCAATGTGTCTCTCTCACATCAATGTCTCTGTCTCTGTCTCTCTCCCTCCCCCTCAACCCCTTCCTTTCTTCCCTTCCACTCTATCTAAAAATCAATGAAAAAATATCTTCGGGTGAAGATAAAAAGTAATAATAATAAAATAAAATAGTTAAAACTAAGTCTTTAAACATTAGTTCTATCTTAGAAATTTAGTCATAAAACTTGAGAATGTAGTTATGAGCATATTTTTATGTTATTACTCTCAAAAACCAAGTTATGACTATTTAAAAAATTAATACCACCTTCTACTATAGTTTTGTTCCAGAGGAGAGTTTTTAATTCCATTACAAATGCCTCTGCTACCTTAAATAAAATCCCAATTCAGACATGCATATTAGAATAGAAACAATAAAAATTCAGCCTCTAGAAAAATTCACATTTTACAAATTTAAAATCTAAATGATTTCTTCATCTGAGTGGCATGATTTAATAATATCGCTATTTTCCACAGAAATAAATTCATAAATTAAATTTTAATATATACCTGAATGGCTAAAACTCAAAATGTGGTATTCCCTTAATCACCTGCCCCCTTGCCGAGTTTGTGACCATGAGGAGGATTTACAGTTGGAAAGTCCAGTACACACAATGAAGCCTCACAGGCCTGGGTCACACGGACTGCAGCCATATCCTGACCAAGTCCCTCTGAGCCAGTTTCCTCACCTGGAAAACGGGGTGATACTCTGTAGGGTGGTTGTGGGTACACAATGAGGCAATGGGTAAAAAACTAAGCACAGCATACATAGGATGCAGGGGACTGATTTGACAAACACATGCTAGGTGCTGTTCTAACTGCTCTGGATATATTACGAGGTCAATCCTCACAGCCACCCTATGTGTTATATTATTTCCTTTTCACAGATAGGGGAATTGAGGACACAAGGGTTAGGTAATTTGCCCAAGGTTCTAGAGTAGGCAAGTGGAGAGCCGGGGGATATTCCCCAGCCCAGACTTCAGAGCCCATTCCTTTTTTTTTTGCATTTATCTTCAGATAGAGCACGAGGGAGAGAGGGGGGAAGAAAGAGAGAGACACATTGAATGGTTGCCACCCACACGACCCCAACTGGGGCCGGGGACAAACTGCAATCCGAGGTACATGCCCTTAGCGGGAACAGAACCAGGGCCTCTCTGGTGGTCCACGGGCCGAAGCTCTAATCGCTGAGCCAAACCGGCCAAGGCAGAGCCTATTCTTAACCATCACATGTTGTGGCCCCAGTGGATGTGAGGCTCAGGAAGCAGCACTGTCTCACATCACCACTCATTAAATCAAATCTCCCAACTGGACAAAGACTGCACAAACTAGTGTGATAACACACAGTATGGTAAACCATTTCATGTGTACCCTTTGGGTTGAAGAATACAATCTCAGTGAAGCTCCAAGCCAGAATCCACCATTAGAAAGTGATCTTCTTAGAACCTTAGGGAGTAGGACACTACATTAAATTCCTTATATACACCCTTGAATCAATTATTGTTGCAGTAAGTAAAATAGTATGCTATAATGACTAAAAGCACATGATCCAAAGACAGACCACCTGGTTTCAAAGCCCACTTCCAGCACTTACAAGGTAAGTGGCCCTGACCAATCTCTGACTTCATTTTCCTCATCTGCAAAGGAGGGTAAAAACAGTCTTTACCTCAAAGGACTATAATGTAGTTAAATAATAAAGTTAGCTGCAAAATGTATTTAATAAGTTTATTAAATAAATTTATATATGTAAATTGTCTTGGGTACATGGTAGATGCTCAAAAACGTCAGTCGGCTATTATTAGATATTTTACTAATTTGGAAAGAGTTCCATGATAATTTGTTAAGTAATTTTTAAAAGCTGCACAACAATCTATAAAATGATCTTATTTGGTCTTTAAAAAATTATATATGAGTATCTACGTACAGGTATAAATTCTGCTCTATAAAGACAGAAGAACAGGAAAAACTGGAAGACCAGACCAAACTGGGAACAGAAAAGGGAGAGGCTAGGGCTGGACCTTCATCCCTTTCTTCATGCATTTTCACACACATAAAGATATTATGGATAATCTTTACATTTTTTGCATCTTCCAAATTTTCTATAAGAGAATATGTTTTTCACATGAGAAAAAAATATGTTTTTAAAAGGAAATCACAGTGATAAGCAGAGGCAATGGAGATGAATAGCACCAGTCTCAAACACCAAAATTAATGGCAGAATAGCTTGAATAATAAAGAATACATTTATTTCTAGATTAATCAGTTAATCTACAGCACCTTAACACAAGCAGCCCTCCTGTTGGGCAAAACATGGTTATAAATTATAGAAATGTCCCAGAGTTATTCAGATAATCAATTATATAAAGAAAATAGACCATTACCAGAGGCCAGTAGTTTGTAGTTTTAGGTGGGAATCTCACAGTCTACAAACATTTGAAATGTGTAAATCTTTCCACTGATCAATTGTATTTCCATCTATTACCACATATTCAATCACACACATGAGTAAGCATGATACATACACAAAGATACTGTAGCATTATTTGTAATGGGAAGAAACTGGAGACAATCTAAATATCCATCAATAGAGAAACAGTTAAAACCAATACATATACATGGTACAGTGAGAAGGAGAGGTACTTTGGGATTATCAAACTGAAGAAAGGGCACTCTAGGATAATTAAAGTGAAGTAGATCTGCACTTATAGCTTGAACAAGGTTATGGATAAGGAGAATAGTATGATCACCATTTTTTACCAAATCAAACTATGTAAATACATTTAGGAGAAGAAGTCTAGAAGAGTTACAAACTGTTACCAATGACATTCCTGGGGAATGGGATGGGTGGGTGTACCTTGACACAGCTGGAATGTTTTAGGGGCATATAACAGTTTGTAAGTTTTTAGAGGCAGTGGGTTCATGCAGATTTAATGAAATAGTGTGTGAAAGTACTCCCACCTCAATCCCAAACAGCAGCACCCCTGCCCTTCAGTGAAAATACAAACTTAGACAAATGATAAACTCTTTGCACCAATCAATTACAAGTCTAGCACCTATCTCACATATCACACATACAAGTGAGCAAGGATGTTGCAGTCTTCACACTGATACCCTGCTATGTCAGTGTGTCTGTGGGGACCCAGCCCATCAGGGAGGCAGATCTCCCTCCACGTTGTGAAGAGCAAAGACACAGAATACTGGCCTTCCCAGCAAAGGTGGACTCTCCCTCCAGCTCAAGTGTAATCCAAACTTGGTAAGAGGAAAGAAGGGGGAAGATGACTTTGATTTATAACTATGATGATTCTTTTCAAAATAAAGAATGTTCTTAATCTATCAACCTCCAGATAAGGTACATTTCTCTGCTTCTAGAGAGCAGAGTCTATATCACACCATTGGGTATTTCGTTACAGGCTGACTTTTTTTTTTTTTTAAGAGAGAGAGAGAGACACATCAACTGGTTGCCACCCACACCACCCCAACCGGGGCCAGGGACAAACCACAATCAAGGTACGTGCCCTTAGCAGGATTCGAACCCAGGTCTCTCTGGTCCGCGGGCCAACACTCTAACTGCTGAGCCAAACTGGCCAGGGCTAGGCTGACTTTTAATTGCTAATGTTTTCATGTGCTTTGGTCTTGGTCCTCTAATTACACTTAGTTTTTTCAGGGCACTGTCATTTCAAGGAAGCTGCTCAGGGTATTGAAAGAGTACCAGATGGTGTCCAGGGCCGTGGTTCTCGGTGCCACTTCTGTCATTTACTGAGCAAACTTGGGCCAGTCATACTTTCTTTGGTTTTCAGTTTCCACATCTGTAAAATCAAGAGGTCAAACTAGATAATGTTTAATTTGTTCTTCACATTTTTTATAACAGAATGTGCACACACTGTCTTCACAACCATGTTTAACTAATGAGATGTGACTTAATTTTAACAATAAAAACAAACTTTATTATGCATAAACCATTTACTTGGAACAAGTAAAAGCATATAAAAACATATATTAACTAATTCAATCTCAAAATAACTCAAATAGTTCTTTTTCCCATACTACAGATGAGGAAACTGAGACCCAGAGAGTTTTCTTGCCCAAGGTGACATAACTAGAATGTGACAAAGCCACGATTTAAACCAGTCGTCCAACACATTTAATTATCACATCCTCCTGACTATAATGCAGGAGAGGAGGGAATACACAATATGTGAGCTGCTTTCACAAACTGAACACACACACAGGTACTTGCTTCTCTACCACCTCACCTTGACACTAAATTACAACCAGACAGTAATTACTCCAACTGAGTAACTGGAATGTGAACTGTATAAAAACAGACAAAATATTAAATTCAAATAAGCAACTCAAAAACACATTTTTTAAAAATCTAGTGAATATAGAGCTCAAACTGCCAGGCTTTCCCCAAATCACCATTCTCTTTGTGCTTCCAGAACACTTTGCATTAACCCTATTACAGTAGGGATCTAAAAGTAATGAACCCCCTCTCCATCCAAACTGAGTTTCAGGTCAGTAGGCCTGTCATCGTAGTGCTTGTATCCTGCTTTCTTATGAGATACCATAATTGACCCAAGGTGGGAACCCAATAAAGTTTGCTGAAGTTCATTTGTCAATGAAGTTCAATGATATATTAACGGAAAGAATGCTACTGTAATATTACGATAAACAAGAATGAATACTTTAGCTTTTAAAAAAAATTGAATATATCGGGGTGACATTGGTTCAAAAAATCATACAGGCGTCAAATAAATGTACAACTCAACAAAACATCATCTACACATTCCATCATGTGCCCACCACCTCAAGCAAAATCTATTTTCCTCCCACACTCTCCCACCTTTGTCCACCTCCACCTACCCCCACCCTTCTTTCCCTCTGGCTATCACCACACTGCTTGAATCTTGACTAGTGCCAGTTTAGAGAAGCAGAAAGGTGATTTAGTGTATGAATCAAGAACATGACGATTTATAGTTAGTATATCAATTTGAGAGAGAGAGAGAGAGAGGGAGGAGGAGAGATAGAACCATCAATGAGAGAGAACATCGATTGGCTGCCTCCTGCACGCTCCCCACTGGGATTCCCAGGCATGTGCCCTGACTGGGAATCGAACCTGTGACGTCTTGATGCATGGGTCAACCACTGAGCCACACCAGTCCGGCAAGAAGCACTACTTTTAAATCTAGCTTACATCGTAAAGTTGAAAGTCAGCTAAAAAGTCCAAATAAAGTAAAAATCAATGACCATTTATTGCTATTTCATTCCTCAAATACTTAACAGGTAACAAAATCTACTAAAAGACATGAAAATAACAAACAAACTAAACATTATTTATCGATCTGTTATTATTTACAGAATAGTGTAGTTACCTTTCTGTTATAGTTTTTTCAATGTTTAGCCCAAATTTAATCATTGGTTCTAGTTCTCAGATTGTGGTTCCAGGACCAGCCCCATCAATAGCACCTAGGAACTTGTTAAAAACACACACTCTCAAGTCCCACTTCAGACCTCCTACAGGTTCAGAAACTCTGGAAGTGGAACCAAAAAAATCAGTATGTTACCTGACTCTCATGTGATTCTAATGCATAAAGTTTGAGAATATGGCTGTACTCTATAGAATGTGTTTCTCTCTATATGTAATAAGTACTCTATTTATGCAGTTTAGATTACAGAGTGCCAAAAAGGTATTCTTTTCTAAGGGTGCTATAGAATGGATAGCAATAATAATGGAAAAGTGTTCCAAAGTTGAAAATAAAAGTCCTAGGGAACACCTGGCTAAGGCTTATTAAATACTGGAGGATGAGGAGAACCTTTGAAAAACAATCAGTATGGCAGTTGAAATTCATATATTCTATTCACATACTCTACAATCTAGACAGTCCACTTCTAGGTATAAATCCAAGAAAAACTCTTGCATGTGTATGCCAGGAGGCATGAACATAAGCAGCAGCCCCCTTCACAACAACATACTAGCATAAAAGCATAACCCTGAAAGCAATGACGCACTCAACAGGAAAATGGACAGACTGGCATTTTGGCAAAATGGAATTTCATTAAATACAGCAATAAAGCTGTATTTAAAAAGAAACCAAGGAGCCCGGCTGGTGTGGCTCAGTGGTTGAGTGTTGACCCATGCACCAAGAGGTTGCCGATTTGATTCCCAGTCAGGGCACATGCCCAGGTTGTGGGCCCAATCCCCAATGGGGTGGGGGGCATGCAGGAGGTGGCCAGCTGATGTTTTCTCTCATCAATGTTTCTATCTCTCTCTCCCTCTCCCTTCCTCTCTCTAAGAAATCTATAAAGAAAAAATATTTTTAAAGAAAGATACCAAGGAAATGATAAATATAGGATTCAGTAAATAGTTGCCTCAGATGAGGGGAAGCAGGAAAAAGGGATGAAGGGATGGAGGTGCCCAGATAGTTATATCGAGGTTACTATCGAGGTCTTAGCTTTTATGTTAGGTGGTGCCTATTATTCTACTAAAGCTAAATAAATAAATAGACCAATTATGAAACTGTGTCATGAACCAAGGAATATAACTAATATGATTCTTTGTACTTAAAGTCCTTCAAAGATATTTTTTAAAATATATACTGTTCCTCAAATATTTCAAACAATTCTACCCAGTCTGGCTATGAGACACCCACAGACCTGGGTCCTACGCCTGACTACTGCCAACTCAGGGGTTAGATGGCTTTTTAATTTGAATTTCTGTCTTCTCTCATCTCAGAATCCTACATTGCTAGGACCTGACATTTTTATGCCTCTTATGACATTCAGATTCTACACTGCATTATAAATTGTGTTATCTCCTAATGAATTGCAAGTTGCCTGAAAATGGGGCTGAATCTTATTTTTCCTGGCATCTCTATTCCCCTAATCTTAAAAGTAGAAGACAGACTTACAGAGGTGTTCATTTCACAATATATAAAAATACTGAATCATTGTTATACACCTAAAGTGAATGTTATGTCTATTATACCTCATTTAAAAGTACAAAAACAGCCCTGGCCATTCTTTCTCAGTGGTTAGAGCTTTGGCCCTCGGACCAGTGAATCGTGAGTTCAATTCTGGTCAAGGGCACATACCTCAGTTGTAGTTCCTCCCCGGCCCCAGTCAGGTCGTGCTGGAGGCAACCAATCGATGTGGCTCTATCACACTGATGTTTCTCTCTGGCTCTCCCTCCCTCCCACTCTATTTGATGATAAGTGGAAAGGTATCTTCAGGTGAGGAATAAAAAAAATACAAAAACAAACAAAATATTCAAAGGTTGATTATACGAATAATCATTTTTACTCTTTTAAAGTTTCTGGGGGCTTCAATAAAATAGTTTAAAAGTTTTTATTTGCTGTGTAGGGCTGTTGCCTCACAAATATTACTTAAATTGTCTATGTTCAGAACATTTTTAGATCATTTAAATTACTAATTTTAGTGGAAATACTTCTAAAGTAAAAATCAGCCTGACTGGTGTGGCTCAGTGGTTGAGCATCGACCCATACACCAAGAGGTCAATGGTTCGATTCCCAGTCAGGGCACATGCCCAGGTTGTGGGCCCAGTCCCCAGTGGGGGGCATGGAGGAGGCAGCCGATTGATGCTCTCTCTCATTGATGTTTCTATCTCTTTCTCCCTCTCCCTTCCTCTCTCTCTCTAAAATAAAGAAAACAAAATTTTTTTTAAAGAAAAAAAATAAATTAAAAATAAAATATAACTCCCCTGAATAAAACCCTTTAAAGATTCCCTATCATCTACTGGTCAAAGATCACCTTCCTATTTTTCATTCTTATCACTAACCCACTCCACCTGGCTCTAACTACCAAACTACCTGTACCTCCCCCACAGTACATTGCACAGACAATACCACTATATGTTCAACCTGTGAAGAATGACACCACCTCCTCCTCTTTCTCCTCCTCCTCCACTAGGACACAGCTGAAATTATGTTTTCTAAAGCCTTCCCATATTTGCAATTTTTATTTTCTATTTTTGCTCTCTCCCTTACTATACTATAAATTTCCTAAAACAAACGCCACAAGGCAACACTCATCATTTTTATCCTCAGGTCTGACAAGTAGAGGCTTAGTGTTTAATAAACATTTATTAAAAGAATACATTATTAAAGCATACTTCAGTAAATCTGCTGGTACAAAAAATACTGACCCATTATCAAAAGTAAAAATGTTAGGTAGTTTTCCATTATTAATAATGAATAGTGCACTTTTCTGTTCTATCTCAATCTATAAATTCATGAATTCAAGATAACTTGCACCTTTATTAACAGCGGGTCATGATCACCATCACAAAAGTGACCCCAGAGTACCAATAAGGCATATATATTCACTGGTAAATGATATGGAAAAACAGCATGTAAAAGCTTTGGAATTGCTCCAATTTACGCACGTGCAATGACTTAAAATCACACAATTCTGGGGCAGTGTCTTTCTCATCTTTTTATCTCTAGGTGCATATTACATAGAAGATATTCAAATGCCTCCTTTTATAAAACCTGTGTCATAGCCAGCTTTGTCAAAGAGCAGCTATGGCAGGATTATGGATAGGCCAAGAATATAATCTGATTTTGTATTGGCCTTGAGGCCTTTGGCAAGTCATCTAAACAATTTCAGTTTTCTCATATACTGCCTCAGCGTGTTTGGAACATAATATACTTTAACAAGTCTTATCATAAGGCATAATGTGTGGGGCTGAGATCCTCACATTTCATCCTAGAATAACTAAGTCCTTGCAGTTATCTTCAAGCTGGTTCACTCATGTTACTTAACCCTAGGGCTTTATTATCTTCACTGTACACATGGGGAAAGGGAAGGGAAGATATAAAATGACTTGGCTGAAAAGACCCAGCAAGTCACTAAAAGAGCCTTCCTTTTCAGCTCATTCATCCTCTTTGCAAAGAACCATTTTGAGAAACTTTCATGGACAGCAGGCAGAATAGAGTGTCAAATTAATTATTAGCTTTTACTGGTTTAGTTTGAATGAATAACCTAAGCATCCTGGGCCTGTAGGTTAAGATAGTTCTAGGACTGGATAGATTAAGTTTTGCTGACTGAATCCAAGTTCATAAATCTACCTTCTTCTAAATTTCAAGATAGCTTGACCTAAATTTTAACACTAAAGGCAATTTTTTCTCTCTCAAGATCTCTCATTCCTTTCAAATTTTGTTCAGTCTCCTAAATGTGTTAAGTCCTACTCTACCTTTCCAGGTCAGGGTCAAGGCTGCCAGAATTTTCATCTACCTAAACAGTAAACCAATCTGTCCCCAGTCGTGAGGGACTGCAAGGCACCCGTCACTCATAGCCAACTCTAGACCTAGACTCCAATCTGAATTGATAGGAAAGCCCAGCATTTTTTTAATTCCAGGAAACCCCCTCTCTTACACTTCTGAACTACCCTCAGAGGAGTGCCTCTTCTAACCCTCACCCCATTATGGAGTTCAGAAAAAGGAAATCTCAGTTCGCTCAGATTCAACAAGAACTGTGTCTGCGTTGCAAGTAATGATGATTTAGCAATAATAACTGCGGACCCCGAAGTAGGGTAATAACCTAAAGATTCCCATATTACCAAGTGCTGAAACAAATTATTTAGCAGATTCCATTTCCTGGGCCGAAGTGACTTGCATAACAGGGCGATCAGCACAGGATCAAAAGGGAGCAGGGAGCTCGTAATTCAGTGTACTGTACTTTACTGTAAATTTCTACACCGAAATATTCTCACAAGCCTGCCTCTTAGAGGATGTTCGTCTCCTAGACATTTATCATCGGGGTTCCCTTCCGCTGCGGCGGTAAAGGGCCACAGAGGGACTCAATTCTAGCGACAACTCTCGCGGCTCGCGCTAACAAATCCCGAAGCCCGCACGCCCCGCAGCCTCAGCTGAGACACCGCAGCCCCAAATTGGCCATCCCCTCCTCCCCCACGTCCCCAGCACCGCAGGCCGGCGCCGCCCGCTCTCCATCCTGCAGGAGGTTTTAGGCTCCCCGGGCCGGAGCCCTTCGGTAGGCACAGCACTGCAACCGCCAGCGGAGCGGTCCCGGAACTGGCACCTACCTCCACCTCCACCTCCACCTCCACCTCCACCTCCGGGCGCGGCCGGAGGGTCAACGCTCGCCGCCTCCTCCAACGGCCCAAACGGCCACGCCGCGCCTCTCCCAGAGAAGCGGGGGGGCGCCGAGCCAGGTGCCGACGCTCACCTCCGCGCCCACCCCCGGCCGGTCTGTCCCCGGCCCCGCCGGTGCCGTCGCCCCTCCCCAGGCGGGCGCGTCACTATCCCCGCCGCGGGGCTAGGCTCTCACCGTCACAATCCCCGGGAGCCGCGGGGAGACACCGCTTGGCGTCCCGGTCAGGATCGCGCAGCCCCGAGGGCCCGCACAGGCGCGCCGCACGCAGCGCCCTGGGCCGGCGGCCCCGCCCCCGCCTCCGGCTCCCGCCTTGCCCGTCCCCAGCCGGGCTCGCTCCGCCCCTGGCGGCCGCCTCCCTGCCTCGGCAGGTTCGCACGGTTCCCACCCCGCCCCCGCGCAGCCGGCGCCGCAGGCCCGGCGGCCTCTCATTGGCTCCGCTCGTTGCTAGGCAATGAACAACCGCGGCCTGCATTGGCCGGGTGGGGCCTCCTGAGTCTCCTCCCCACCTCCAAAAAACCCAGAGAAAAAGAAAACCTTATCCCTAGAGCCGAACGGGATGCTGGCGCAGCTGCGGCTGCGGCACCTGTTACGCCCTGTGATTCACCCGGCCCGGCTTTGCTCCCTCCCCCTCCTCCCCCGGGCTGGGCTCGGGGCCCCGTGGGGGGAGGGGGAGGGGTCATGGCGGCATTAAAGCACGTGTTCCGGACCCCAGTGAATCCCAACACCTAGTGAACCCCAACACCCACTTTAAGAGCAAAAGTGAAGCTCCCCGAAGAGCCACGTGCGCTTGTAAAAGTGGAGAAATAAACCAAACAACAGCCGGCACCCAGAATTAGGTTGAGCCCAGGGGAATGGAGTTTCAAGCGTCGGGAACCCTGGATGCAAATAACCCAGCCGGGGGAAAGTTACGTGTGAAATCGGGGCAAAGAAAACGACCTAGGCGGAAGACAACGGGAAGACTAAGAAATGGCACTTATGATCTAGAAATTTATGCAGAAATTTCTCACACCCACCCGCAAAATATGTGGAAAGAAAATGTATGCCTGCTGCACCGGTACCGGGGTCAGGCCGGCTCCTCCCCGGTTCCACGTGAGCCTAAAATTCTCCGGGGAAGGAGAGAGGCCGGAGAAAGGAAAGATCAGACTGGGAAATCGCAGGCATATGAGTTGAGTTATAAACACAAAGAAGTACTTTGATGGATTTTTGTGTGTGTGTGTGTGTGTGTGTGAAACCCAAGGTATTTATTTACTCAAAAGGGGGAAAAATAGGTTTGGTATTTTAAGGAGGCTCCTGAGAGCACTTTAATACTAAAATACCAAAATAGTATGAGACATGGGGGAAAAAATTAACAGTGAAGAACAAGAGAGGAACGAGTGCCCCTTCCCTATTTACACGTACTTATCCTCAATCCTGGATGAGAGGTGAAGGCGAGAAAATGAGCAAGCCCTGGTGAACACTTCAGAATCCAACGAAATCCTCCTGTTTGCCTTTGGTTTAAGAGATTGGGAGGCCCTGCTGGATGCTATTGAGTTTAGGTGAATGACAGCCCAATAACTCATTAGGGCCCATCATTGTTAAGGACGCTGTTACTGCAGGGCTGTGGAAACCAATGATTACCAATAATTACCTTACTCCCTACCCCAGATACTGGTGTGTGTGTGTGTGTGTGTGTGTGTGTGTGTGTGGTGGGGGCGGGTTACCAGTGATCCAAAAAGGGGGTTTGCAATTTCAACTGTCCGTCCCCAAATCCCACATCCCTTCCCATCTTAAGAAATAATTTAACGTGACAGTTTTTCTTTGAAATGACACTTTAGGCTTCAGTTTGACCATTTCACCTCCTCCACAGTCAAAATGCGAGAGCTCACTCTCTGACTAGCTGGAGGAGCTGAGATCAAGGAATTAAATAAGCAGAGTCCAGCACACACTTTTGTGACCTAACCACTTACAGAGTCAGGATTTTAAAAAGTTAACGTCAGGCTGAGATAAACAGCGAAAAGTTCGGCCCCGCCCCCAGCCCCAAGGATCAATCAGACAGAGCCGTCTGAACGGTTTTCAACCTTTTTGCTCTTAAGACCAACTTTTCATCCTTAAAAATTATTGAAAACCCCAAAGAGCTTTTGTTTATGTGGGTTATAACTATTGATATTTACCACACTAGAAATTAAAACTGAGATATTAAAAATTTTTTTTTCCTCTATTGATTTTTGGAGAGAGAGGAAGGGAGAGGGAGAGAGAGATAGAAACATCGAAGAGATAGAACATCAATTGGCCGCCTCCTGCATGCCCCCCACTGGGGATCAGGCCCACAACCTAGGCATGCGTCCTGACCAGGAATCGAACCTCTTGATGCATGGGGTTGAACGCCTGACCACTGAGCAATACCGACGGGGCAGAACAGATATTTTTAAATATTTATTTAAAAAATAATAATAGAGCCCAGGCCATTGTGGCTTAGTTGGTTGGACTGTCTGCAGGTACACCAAAAGGTCACACGTTGGATTCGGGACAGGGCACATACCTAGGTTGTGGGTTTGATCCCTGGTTGCTGCCACTGATGTCTGTCTGTCTATCTATCTGTCTCTCTCTCTTCCTCACTCTCTAAAAAATAAAATAAACATATCCTTGGGTGAGGACTAAAAAGTAATAATAAAAAGAATAAAAATTACATCTTAACATAAATAGTACATTTTAATGAAAAAATAACTTTTTTTCCCAAAAAAAGAGTGATATTACTTAAAAATTTTACAAATATCTTTAATGTCTGGCTTAATGGAAGGTAATTGATTTTCATATCCGCTGCATTCAGTCTGTAGCAATATCTCACATAGCCTTTGGAAAACTGTACATTCCTAAGAGAATGGGAGTAAAAAGTTACATTTCAGTATTGTAATAAAAATAGTTTTGACTTTGTAGACTTCCTGAGATAGTCTTGGGGATACAACTGGTCTAAAGCTGTCTTGTCAGTGGCTGGTTTAGGAAATGAGCAGGTGACCTAACTCTGGTGAGTACATAATGGGAAGTGTGTGTATATGTGTGTGTTTTTTTTTTGTTTGTTTGTTTTTGCGGGGGTCGGGGGCTGCTTCAGGGGAAGGGTTTTAGCCCTGAGAGTCCATAAGAAGTCTTTTCTTTCCTGCCCTGGCCATTCTCCAGTGAGCAAGACATGTTTGGAGCTGTGGTGGCATATCCTGAAACAATGAGAGAAAGGGGAAAAAAAGAAAACACACACACACATGGAAGGCAACCCAGAACCCAGATGTCACTGAGTGGCTAAATTAACCTACTCTAGCTCTGCACATCTCCAGACTGCTGACATGTGAGTTAGCAAATGGCCTATGGCTTAAGCCAATTTGGGTCAGGTATTCAGTTACTTGCAGCCAAGAAGATCTTGACTGATATATAGGACAAGATAAAGAATTTGGCGTCAGCCTGAAAATAGTGTAAGGACACATTAAACACAAGACTAAAGAAATTGGGCTTAATAGAACTTTGCTAAGGTAAGGAAAGATAAAGGGAAAAGGTGCTATCCAGAATATTTTTTAAATGCTTTACTTTGGCTACTTTCCTCTCTTTTAGCAAAATTAAGGGAATGTGACTGACTATCAAGGGTTGTTCTCTAAAACACATCAAAACTTCCACCCCTACTCCTCTATGGTCTATTTATATCACAGTGATCAGAATAATTCTTTTAAAATATAATTTATATCATGTCATTTTTCTGCATTTGCTTTCATCATTCATTGTTAAAGCCAAAATTCTTCCATGGCTACAAGGCTCTTATGAACTACCCTCTATCTCCTTGCCTCTCTGATCTCATGTTCTACAACTGTGTCCCTTACTCGAGTAACCATTAGCCACCTCACTTTCTTCAACCTTGCAGGGCACATTAGTGCCTCAGGACCTTTGCACTAGCTATTCCCTCTGAATGTCCTCCCTCTTAACATTCATATTACTTACCTCCCCCCTTTCTAGTCTGCCCCAAATCACCATCTTTGTGGGGCCCAACCTGACAACATTAAAATTGGAACCCCCCTATAGTTTTCCAAATCTCTTACCTCTCTCTAATGTAATTTTCAACCATAATATAGAATTTACTTTATTTGTTTGTTTGTTCGTTTGGTCCATCTCCCTTTACTAGAATGTAATCCCAGCAGAGATAGAGGTTTTGTTTGCTTGTTCACTGATGCATCGTGCCTAAAATAGTGCCTGGTACTTAGTGGTTAGTGCTCAATAATTATCTGAGAATAAATCTAATTTTTGAAATAATCCAAAAGTTAGTCAGAGCCAAATCTGATGAACACATTCTGGAGCCACGTTAAAATGCCAAACCTGTATTTTTTCAACTAAGTTACTGCAGTTGGATGGATAGAGAAAGGTCAAAAAATAAGATGTGCTTGATTTTTTAAAATAGTAAACTGACTCTGAACATAATGTCAGAGTGGAGTTCTTAAAATGTACACTTGTAACAAGTTTCAGAAAAAGCATATATATATTTTAAACTCTATATGTTTGTGTGTATGTGTGAATGAACCTCTTCCAATCTGTCTGCAGACTTCCATTCTTGTCCCCATTACATCAGAGTCTTTCAAAGATGAAAATCAAATCCTCTCCACTCCTCTCCCCACCCCCTTGCAATGAAGAACGTTTAATTGTATTGTATTCAGCATGACATTGAACTTTCTCCCCAGTCTTGCACACATGATCTGGCTTCTGTCCCCATCTTGGAACTCTCACTTGGGCACACAAAGTGCCAGCCATAGTAGCCCCCGCCCCTTTTTTTGTCTCCTGGACCTTTGCACCTGCCATTCAGTTAGCCTGGAAGGCTTTTCCCACAGGGTTCAAGACTATGATTCTTTTTCATCATTTGGATCCCACTTCCATATATAAAGCAAACTTCCCAGGCTTGATTTTATTTGTGTGTTTGTTTGCTTGCTTATGGTCTATATCTTCCCACCAGAATGTGAGCCCAGAGAAGGCAGGGACTTTGCTGGTTGTGCTTGCCTCTGTAGCCCAGCCCCTCCATGCCCCAACTGGAGGGTTGCTAACCAAACCGTTAATAGTGAAATTGGGTGGATAGAAGGCAAGGAACATCCACTTTTCACTTTATTAACTTCTGTTATAAATGAATTTTTATAAGTATGTATTATTGTAATTTTAAAATATTTTAATTTTGCTGAAATAAATAGGCTCTGACTTTAAAACGTATTAAGTTAATAACCTACCCTTATTTACTCATATGTGTTTCTCAGAAACTAATGTTTCAAATACCCCAGCAAAC